AAGAGGAAAACAGGAGATTTAAGCCGGTTTTGTTTGTGGATGAAAGATATTGCACATAAAATATATATATATTCAAGAGATAACAATTTTGGCTTATCAAGTTGTTGCGCTTGTAACGTCGTAGATCACATGATAACGTCAACATGGCGGATGAAGTCCGGATCTCATTCATACTTAACGAGATTTGGCTGTAGAGTACCTACTCTTTTAGCGCTCGTTATGTAAGTACTTAATGAAATTAAGTACCTACTCATTGAGTAGGTGGTTTCGGACACAGCCGATGTTTTAACAACAAGCATGATCAGATAATCAACCAATTCAGCACAGGTGAAGCTCATCTAGTCTAGACCCAGAGACAGATCCCCAGTAAAGACCTTGTGACCTAGATGGCCATCAGGACAAGACCACAGGAACCAGATGACTCCTCTGCACAATCTGACTTTGCTGCAACCTAGAAATAAGCTGCTGGTTTTATCTGGCCAGAGGAGAATGGCACACTATTGACACACTATTTCCCGGTTTAATACTGTAAAGCTGCTTTGACACAATCGGCATTGTAAAAAGTGCTATGTAAATAATGGTGACTTCACTTGACTTCACAATGTGCTGATGCAGCATGGATGGACAGTGGGAAGCAAAGTTATATAGTTAAAAAAGTTTACAATATTAGTATTTTTCTGAAACACCTATGTAGCGTCTGGACCAATCAAACACAATTTTTCATTTGATTTAACAAATCAGTTATTCATTAGATTAACAAATCGTCACAGACCCCTCACCCAATAAACTGGGTGCCAGGATGTCTGCGAACGACACCAGGCCACCCCCCCAGTCCCCATGGCAACCAATGCTGATATCACTGGTTTTATGGCCCAAAGGAATGTGAGTAGAGAAAATCACTATCTTTTCCATAGGAAGAGACACAATGCACAGTAAAAATGGACTCTTCTCATAGGAAAACCTTTCTTTGAATGAACATGCATATCCTTCAGATCATTGTGTATGTTGTCTTTGATATTTTATACTGTTTTATGCAGGCTTATGATGGAACCTCTCGTTCCTGTCATCTTACCTATATGTAATCCTACCATGTTTAGTATATAGGAATTCATCATCTGATGATCTAAACGAGAGTAATATATTGCCTATGTACCAACATATAATATACAGTGTCCTGAGAATCTTTAGTAATTTCGATTCAAGTTTCATATGCAAATTACCACGCTTCCACACAAAGGGTCATAAAACTCCCCAGTATTTCCAAACTCTCACTTGGGATTTCAGCCTTTCTCATTGGACAAGCCCATCTTAAGAGGCGTGACTCTTCTCAGACCTTAAAGGCCTCACACCAGTGACCCGCCTTCAGTCTGCGGTTTGGTTGAATTCTGAGAAGATGAAAATGTGAGCTACAATGCTCTAGGACACCCTAAGTTTTGTGCCAGGCCTCGGGCCTCGACTTTCCATTCACCAAGATAATCTGACTCAAACTGGTTCTTTTCCATCAACCAACTTCAGCAAAGATCAACTTGGGCCTTCAGATTGCATCAGGAATCTCTGTCAGACAGACAAGACGTGCAAGTATCAAACTTAGTTTTATTAATTGATACATTAGGTATCAGTTTGAACTAAGAATCTGATGTTTCCTTCAGCCTGTAAATGTGCTGAATATCAAATGGTTCCATAACTTCATTATTTATTTCTCTCCTTTTTACTGATTAAGCTTTAACCCTTTTCCTATACCAACTGTATGTGTGTGTGCGTGTGTATGTGTATGTTAGACTAGTTTAAGTGTTTATGTAGTTAATAAAGTCTTACTTGTATCACACTTGACGTTGTTCATTATTTGCTCATAACTGGAGTCCCTTAGTCATGCAGATTTAGGCTACAGGCTCTGTGTAGAATTGTACAGTAAGACAGTTATTTCCCTTAACCAGGAAATTAACGTTCTTAGAATTGACAGACAGTTGACCCTGAGAGGTCAAGTAAATACTTACAGTGGATCTAAATATTTATAATTAATTATAACTAGTTATGATTAATTATTCATATTTCCCCGTGAGCTGATTCACTACACCTATTATTTCACTTTTGAAGATTCTGATTCATCCACTGCAGTCGTATGGGTTACTGTAGTGTTATTTTTGTGTGGTTTTTAAAATGTCAACTTTTGTCAACCATTCACTTGCATTACATGGACTCACAGAAGCATATTAACTCCGATTATCCTTTGGACTTCCAAGCCTATGGGCCCTAACATACACCAGGTGTTACGCAAGAGTTTTTTGCTAGTTTCAGCCCGACGCAGTTATCATTTTCACATCCAGCTCCACGTTTTTTAAATAGCAAATGCACTTACACCCATCTTGTTCGTCCATGGGTGTGCTAATCTGAAAAACAGGTGTGTTCAGGCGCATTGTTGGCGTGTTGCTATTTCGAGGCAACTGAAAATAATTGCATCATAGACCAACTAAAATCTGGTCTAAAGTCAATATTGCAGTATTGTTTTTATTTATTTAAAGGGCGCGTTAGTAATATTCACCTATAGGCGGATCCACAACTCGCGTACCCTCTGCTTATGTGCTTCAGTCCATGCGCTTAGATCGTTAAAATAGGGCCCTGTGAGTATATTGATCTTTGGTTGTGGGAAGGATAATATAAAATCAAAGTTCTGATTTTGTAAGACCCTAAATGTTCAGCAAATTTATTTCATAAGCCTAAAGTTGGTGGGAATAAATAGCTTACTATTTAAAAATGTATTCTGCTTTATGTACTGTACTCTATGAACTACAGTGAACTGTACAGTGATTGAATGGCATTCACTGCATCAGTGTAAACAGTATTTTGCGTGCCTTGCAATAATTTTCACTGGCCTCAAAATATTACGTTTGTTTGTTTTTAGCATATTTTATATTAGCCAAAAAAATATTTAAATGTCATGTTAAACCTAGTCTGTCATCTAGCTAGTTAACACTGCCTTGGTGAGACTAATAAAAGATCTAGCCAAACTTTGCAGTAGCTGAAGTAGTTAATTAGATACATTTAATATTATTATACTGAGAAAAACACACACGCATGCAGTTCAATCAATAGGGAAAAAGTGATTTTAATTTTCAACAGATCACAAGAAAAAATAATGTACTGTAGTCAAAGCACTGATACTTCCAGATGATTTAGAAAACAAAATGTATGTGCCTGCCCTACTTGAGCCCATAGATGTGACTTGTATACAAAGTGCTGCCTTGCTGAACTACTTGGAAAGAATCAAATAGGTGCATAAGATCCAGGTTAATGGATGTATATATTATAACAATCAAAAAATTTTAACAAGCTGAAGAAAGTTGTGGGTTAAATGGTCAAATCCTGCAACGTTTGAGCAAGCGTGAAAAATGGATGGTTGGACAGTTGATGTCAGATACTTTACATCTAATGTATCTGATGTTAATCTTTTATTTTCAGATATATCCTCTAGTCATTCAAAAAATTGCTAATTGCTTTCGCAGCATGAGTCAAACGAGTCTGGCGAGCTCTTAGGTCGCTGCGCCTTCTGCTGACATCAGGGTCCTCAGACAGGAGCTTCTGCAAATCTGGCTTTTCCAATAATTTCATTATGTCAATAGACAGGAGCCGAGCAGTCTCCTGCAACATGTAAAAGGTGATCATCAAGGGCAGTTGGTCAGCCAATCTCTGCACCACAATCTGAAAGAAAACAATTAGAGAAGTTACGTCCTCACACCACAAGCACAGTGCAATTTGTGTTACTGAAAACTAAGATCTACCTCATAATACGCCTCCAGCATTTGACTGTACTTGCATTGTTTGTCAAAGACAGGTAACTCCTTTTCTGAAAAAGTCTGGTTTGTTTTCTCACTCAAGACCTTCAGGAAAATGAGATCTTGAGTAAAGATCCCGTTTTCCATTTTAAACTGCTCTGAGATCCTCTGCTCTGCCTTTTCTTGTTGGTTAAGTTGAATGTCGTTGATTTTGTCCTATAGAATCAAGTAAGGAAGTACAAAGGAAAGAAAACTTGATCAAACTGGACTACAATCTTTTCATTATTTGAGGAGCAATTGAAATGCATTATTTACCTTAGTGGTGTTTTGAAGGACATGATAGTTCTGGAAACATTCACTCACCACGTCAGTGAATTGCTTAATGATGATATCTTCAGAAGAAATACAAAATGACAAATAGCCACGATTCACATATGCAAAACTATTACTCATTCAGTTCTAGATCTAATCTTTTGGTTTTATAATGGAGACTCTCCACAATGGCCACAAAGTCTTTAAACACAAATGTGTGATGGTACCTTTTATGGCATTGAGTAAATCAATGGATGGATCCTTAAGTTTGGCCACATGTTCCTGCAGAATCTTCTCAAAAACGATGTAGTTGCTGAAGCCAGGCAGTTCCCTCCCTCTGTAATTCTCGCTCAACTCTTTTGAATTGTTAACTTTTGGAAACAATATGGATTTCTTGTGAAATTAACTGACCTTTTAATTTTCATTAGAACTCTCTGCTTCTTAAATGTGAAAATATACTCACAGGATG